GAACGAAGAATGAAGAAAAGCAATTATAGATTTATTATTAGCACAGGAAGTAACAATTGATTCATATGTGCCATTCCAACCTATTTTTTTAGCCAATGGACTACTTATTGATTGTTGTGTATAAATCTGTATCTCGGTATTCAATTGGCCAAGAATGATTAAACCTTTTCGTCCATTTTCTAACAAATCGTAACCTCTTATTGAACCTGCAAATTGATCAGCCCAACGATGAATAGTTTTACTGAGAAGATCGAATGAATAAAGTCGTCCTTGTGTATCTCGATATTCACCATCAATTGATCCTTCGCTTGATACAGTGAAAAGAAACGATTCGTTGTCAAACCATTTCAAGTTTCGTTCAATAGCTTGATTGTTTGTCAATCGACGTGGAACAGTAGATGAGCGATCAGTCAAATCCATGGCATAAATTTCATAATCATCCATTGATTCCATTTGTTGTGATGTTGATTCAGTCGAAAACACTAGATGTTTTCCATCGAATGAACAAATCAATTCTGCGACACGCAATGAAATATTTGTCAAAATTTCGATTTGAAATTGATTGATATCTTCCAAATTGACACGATAGATTGTATCACCTCGTTCTTTGCCTCGATATTCAATTACATCCTTCCATTCATTTTTGTATGCTTTATCAGTCTCATCTGTCCACAATGTTCGTGTAGCAAAATAGAGACTTGTATTAATATTTGACAATGTAAAAGCATGAATCGATTCGTTACCCAATGGCAGAGAAAATGTTTGCTCAGTTCGAGTTGAATACAGATAAATAGTATTGGACAGATTTGCAATCAAATAGGCAATCCATTCGCCATGCCAACGAGGTCGAAGTAAACCGGACGAGTGTTTTGTTAATAATGTCATGTTTTTACTATCGAGTGAGTACAAATGGAGATGATATTCATTAACATTGTGATCCCATATGGGATGTCGTGTTTGAATAAGAATTGATTGACTATTGTCAGGTGCAAGTGTCAATGACGTAAAATCAGTATATTTGAAGAACTCATCCAATGTCAATTTTGGCATCAATGATAAGCTATAACCTGTCCAAATAAAGAGTAGAACACCAAATGCATACTTCATTGAAAATTACGAAATGTATTTTATAAATTGTCAGTGGTTGAAAAAAGTTTCCAATACGTTCGTACGATAATGAGTCGAAAATTGAAACTTATCGAGTCTATCTTTTGCACGAAAATGATCAGATATTGATATCTACGATTGATCAACAGTCACTTCACAAAAGAAGAAGAGAAAAAGATTTGCTTTGATAATATTTAGGGATTAGATTTTGTTTTTTTTTATTCTCTTAAGATTAGTTCTTGAAGGGACATGCTATTGTCGTCGCTTAGATTGTTTTGCAATAGTAACAAAGCACTAACGTACTTAATCCTTTGGTTACGGGCTTTTTTTTAAATGAATCTTTTACTTTTCGTTCTAAAAGAGTCTCCAATAACCTTTATTAGTATATGGCAGTATTTAGAAGTATTTTAAAGTACGATAATCTTCAAAACAACCTATCACACAAAGTCCAACATTACCAATATCACACTGATAACGTGTACCCCTACGGTTTTTCTCGCGTCTGCTTGTATGATTACAGACTATACAAGCTCTTTGTGCACTTTTTCCTGTTGGTATTTCTGGAACTAGAGACGTAAAATGACGTGTAGTAAGATGTACAGGGTTATCCCTGATGATCAGACGACTGATTGCATGTTGAGGGTGAGGGTGAGGGTGTCTTTCAATCAATTACCGAATCAATCCCCTTCGAAATTCCCCAAATTGAATAATTTTCTTAGGCTTCACTTTGAATAGTATAGATGCGTTCAATGTTGATGCCCTCAAAAAAAAAAGAAAATATACCAGAATTTACTAGAGCGAGATAGAATGTAAGAAACAAGCATGCCAAAACATAAGAGAGAGCCCATAAACACATAGCAATGCAGGATGATCACGCAATAATGTTGCCAAGATAAGAGGAAAAAGAGAGAAGTCCTTTCGATAGAATCTAAATGATATTATAATGATGATAATATGTGAAAAAATTCAAAACGTATATATATGTGATCCGTAACTAAAGAGTTAAATTCACTAGTAGTATATGCAGAGTATTCAAGTAAATGTAGACGGTGTGAGGTGAGACTGAAAAGCGGAAAGAGTGAGAAAGTGCGAGAGTGGGGGATAGTGATGTGCGACGCTCTTTTCTATATCCTCAGTACTGCATCGACATTTTCACTCGACTCATCCACCCTGATTCTCCACTACCATCTGCATCCTTAATAATTGTGAATTTGCACATCTAACCATTGACTTTTATTATTGCCTTAAATTTGTTTTATTTCGAAAAACCGTCTTGCAGTCAAACCTTTGACATAGAATAATCTGACAATGATATAATAATGACTAAAATTGACTGCATAGAACAAGTAGGAAACTGGAAATTCGTATAATAATTCAATAATTGCATCGATGAACCATCTGCTTTGATTATACAGTATTCAATAAAAGATTGATGATGATTCTGTCCGTGAACAAAAATAGTTCAAGCAACTACGACATCCACCATTGCAATTAACATGATAAAGATATTGAGTGAATTTCGCAGAGGTTTGTAGCTAAAGACATTAAATAGGAGACTTCGTTTGAAAAGAAAACCTATGGTAGCATTGATATACATGAACATTCCCATAATCCAGACCATTGGTAAAATAAGCTGATGTTGAAAAGTTTCTGAGGCAGGGATCATCCCTCGATAACGCCAAAATGGTAATCGATAATTAATTGAAAGACATGTCAAAGCCTTAATGAAGCTATAAATAACTGAGATGAACTAGTCATAATCAATTTTCTTGGTTTTTCTTTGGCGATTATTCATTTGTTAATATATAGCAAGAAAGAAGGATTGGATGATTTGAACTTTCCCAATGGACTACGTGATAGATGATGTTCGTGTATGTCGTAACCATAAACTGTATACATCGTGTCAATTAATAAGTTTTTGCTAACAACTCGTGCTGCTACATATGATATTAGGCTACTGGGAAAACAATGTTTCCAATTAATCAAACAATATTAAAGGGTGCAGCAGCTCGTCAAACTAAACAAAGTCATCAAGTCATATACTTGTTAGAATTAAAAACAACATCTTTGGCTGATACAATCAAGTCTCTTGCATATTTTGTTGACAAACCTGCTTGTTACGGAAGAAAACAAAAAAGAACCAAGAATGACCTTCCCAAGTTAAACTTACCATACTCATTCTCAGTTTCATCGTCAGATGAAAATTAAGATTTTCTTAATTTACTTTTTTTACTCATATTATTCTCGCTTCTCCTCATTAAAAACAAGACTCGGTCATGTTTGATGCATCCGAACTAACAACAATGAGTCATATTCTAATAACATTAGCGACAGTCCTCTCATATATTCTCCATTCATTTTGTTCCGTGATCACTAGAAACAATCCACTGCAATTGCATCAATAATTGGCGAAGTTGAGCAATCCCGCAGGGTGCAGTACTATTGCTTCCACTCTTCGGTGACTGTTATTCTGCTCTGATGGTTCCAGTAGATCTCTCCTTGTTCATTTAATCCCATTGAGGATTTTGATCCTGAACGCACGCTACTTATACATGACAATAGATAAAATGACGAAAGACCTGGTTTAGGCAAGGCATCATGTTAGTATTATAAGATAAGCGCAAAAGATGAAACGAAATATAGACAGTAGCTGAAACATTCTTTAAAGGAATCGCTCGTAATTAATATGTTTACATGGGTGATAGAAAACTTCCTAGAGATCAAACAAACGTGGTCTAAACCAAGATGTTGTGCTAAGACGTGTCTAATTTACAAAAGTATGTGCTTCCAACGATACGATACAGTCCAGAGAGAAGAATCTAAAACCAAGAGAGTCTACTGCTGATTCCAGAAAGAAAATGTAATGGGAAAGGTGATACGGAGCTATTCAACGAGTATCGCTAATTTTGGAAACATTCGTAAGAGGTATTGACAAACGTAGCTACACACAGATTTTGATTAGATGCATTGACAAAGAAATTTCTAACTAAAAAGATGTTTTCATTTCTAAGTTAAGGCAGAAACATTGGGTGAAAAACATTCGATATCTCATTGGATAACTGCAAAACAGCTGAGATGCACTAAGACTTATTCTGATGCAAAAAATATTTTCAAATTGAGTCGATCAACTTTTACAGTTATGAAACAAGTTTATATTTCTGTGTTACATGAGAAAAAATGTGCCAAAAAACATATTAATCTGCTCAAAGTTTTTTTCAATTGAATACATCGAACTATTTATGACAAAATTATTCTCAGTTTATTGAAAATGTACAAGTTCATAGATTAAATTAATATTGTCACATCATGAAATTGATCTTATTATTTCTAATTCTAATCATCATAATGCTCCATGTATTCACAGGAAGCTTGTCGTTTCAAATAACTTTGATGATGACAGCCATGATACATGAGTTCTTCGTCTACATCTTCTTCTTGTAGCTTATTGTGCATATTTTCAGCCATTCGAATCAAAGTTCGAATCATGCCTTTTTCATCATCAAGACTCTCGACATCTTTGAGTAGCTCAATTTGTTGCCTCAAAAGGCCAGTTGCATCTTCCAATTTGCGTGCCTTAACTAGTTCAGCAATTCTTGAATCCATATCGGCAGCCACCTGAATGGCATGCATGGTCTTCACTCGAGGATCAATCAATGTGACAAGCGATCCGTCTTCCACGAACTTTAGTGCGAGACTGCCTTTGATCACGATTGGCTCACTAGCAAGATCATCAGGTCGGTTATATTGTAATTCGTAGACGAGTGTCTCTGTGTCACTTCCATCCACATTCGCTGTTCCAGCAACGGTAAAATCACACAAAATGGATCTTAGATTGTCACTATGAAGATCACCAAGATTGGCACCCGCGATAATATTGTCATGACCCCATATTTTAGTCACAATAGCACCATTTTTACCGCGTACGATAAGACGAGCCTGAGATCCACAGACGTTAAACACACTCATCAGAGCTTTAGTTACTAATGGCTCAATAACTTGGGCAGATTCAAGGAAGAAAAATTTAGCACCACCTGTATCAGCAATACCTTTCATGATTTCAGCATCGAAATCAGCACCGATACCAAATGAATCGGTGATGATTCCTTTGTTATTGTATCCAGCAACGAGATTTGTCAGTTCAGCTCGTGTTTTCAATCCAACATTCGCTTGTCCATCGGAAAAAATGAACATACGACGTGAGTATCCTGAATATGGATACTTTTCAAGCAAACTGGCTCCAGTTTTAATACCACCAGAAAGATTAGTTGAGCCAGCCGTTCTTATCTGATCAACAAGTGGATGAAGAAATTGACGAGTAGAGGCTCGTGCATTTTCAAATATGATAGAGACATCCGTATCATAGGCGACCAAATGAACAACATCGTCATCATGAAGTAGATTGAGTACGGAACAGACTGCTCTTTTTGCGAAAGTTAATTTGTTATTACTTTCCATTGAACCACTACGATCGAGAATAAGAGCCAAATTGAGAGGTGTTCGTTGACATTTTGTATCATTGCTTTTCGTTTCGATATCGAAACGTGCTCTCTTAGTATTTAAAACACCAGCAACAGCATGAACATTGTCTGGAGTGCACCGAACAGTTACTGTTGCCAATTCGTTTTTGGTAGCCATTATCAGTGTTCAATTAGAAGATAATTCTACAACAGAAAGAGAAGGAAATGAAAATTATATTCATTGATTGAATCTATCATAAGCATAGGCAAGCGACGTTCTCTTCTATATCCATATATTTCAATAGCCACAAACATCACTTCATTCTTTTTTTGTGTGGATCTCGAACGAATAACAATTCTATATTCTCTTCGCATACTGTTACAAATGAATTCAGCAAATTATTCCAATGTTCAACAACGATCTGTCCACTTCTATAGTCAACAAAAATGATCAAATTAGTTAACTTCTATCAGCTCTGAATAACTGCAAAGATTCTTCTACCACTTTAATTGTTTTTTCTCCTTTCTGTACCTCTTATTTGAATCCGAATTTTTTTCACTTACTTCATGCGACTAGATGTAACAGTTGAAACTTTCAATAATAGACAGAGAAGATATAAGAACGAACTGCCGACAAGAATAACAAAATGTCAAATGAATAGCTGATGCATGTTGCCAGTATTTATATGTGTGTATATGACAAAACAAGGTAGCACAGTGGTGCAATACTTACATTTTAAATTGTGTCATTACTGTGAAACAGATGTGTGAGTCATTATTGTGAAACAGGTGTGTGAGTGATTACTGTGAAATAGGTGTGTGAGTCATTACTGTGAAACAGGTGTGTGAGTCATTACTATGTTATTGTTCTCAATAATACACTATATTAGAAACTGGAGAAGGGAAAACATGATGATGACTCATTGAAGAATGACACATCGTTCTTACACAATGGGGCAGCCATATGTGTGTGGACACAAACTAGAAACATTTTCGATATTTAGAATATTTCGAGCATTTTTTCTTCGACTTTTCCGGGTACTGTCTCTTTGCATTTCTATTAGAAATTGAACACAAATGCATTTGTAGAAAAACTCAGAAGACTATATGCGCTGTCAAGAAATGGTAATCGCTAATTTCAATAAAAATCGAATGTGTATGAAAATTGATGTTCCGCAACCAAAACCATTATCTGGGTTATTCCCAAGTGTGTAACGACACAGTTACATTTTAGACGTGCTGTTGAATTGCAAATATCAATCAACAAAATTCTTTTCACCAATGTACTGAATCAATTCTTTGTCGATTCCATGCCTTGAATAAAACATGAGATGATTTTATGCGTTGAATGATAACATCCTTCTTCTTAATCATCTATGTGACAGAAAACTAGTTGCAGTAATATGGCATACAGCAATAAAATCTTGGCATTAGGAATTTTCTCATTTGCAATAGACAGAAGTCAAACATTAGAATTAGAGGACCAGGTGGAACGTGAAGTTTACTTGTCCTGAGAATATATCAAAATCAATAGTGAAACCCAGGATAATTGAGCAATGAGCAATTTTCCGGTCAAACCATTGTGAGGGAAAACAACAAGTGGACAATTAAAAATCAATTAAGTTGCATTTTTTCTAAAACCGATTACCATTATAAAATCCGATGTTTGTTGAAGAAAAACTCGTACCACCTTGTAGATCAACGAAAGGCACATTAAGTGATATATAGAATGTCGTCTTTTCGTCAAGTTTTAGATAAACTAGAGTCAACTTACTATTAGCGGGTCTGCCATCCCGAATTGCGATTACGGTGATTAGACCTATTATGACCACTCTTCTCATAAAAGATTTTGTCTAAGTAATTAGGAAATTAACTTAGTTTCTTGAAAACAAATAGATAGCATCAAATCATGTCAAGCAAAGTTGAAATTTAGGAAAAATCCAACAGTTTTTAGAAGATTTAAAAATAAAAGAAATTGATAAGGATGAGAATAAAAAACTGATCTTATATCTCTATATTAAGTTATATTTAACTCGAATTGAAGTCTAATTGAATCTAAGAAGTTGTAAAATTTGTGAGCATATTTAATTGAAATCTAGTTTGTCTTAACAGCTTCAACCGTAGAAACAGGAAAGGGATCCTCAAACTTATGTTTATTGGAGCGGTACTTTTTTCGATGTTTATTCGTCTTCGAATTCAACCTGGCTCATAGGTAATATTTAAACTATGAATAAATTATGTTGTTGAGTTTTATTGAATTATGTTCTAGCCAAAAAAATGAAGGGTTTCTTAGCTTATGTATTTCCTGTGGTAGAAAAATAAACGTTTTGTCTCGGAGTTTGATGCTCAAAAAATCACAATAGCATAGAAAATATAACATTTTCAACTACAATTTAACAATGACCATTTTTTCGATACTACTATCAATGTGCACTGGTAATTTTTTCTCGATATCCACTTGAATTTTTATCGTTATTATAGACTTCAGAACATGCAGACCTTTTACTATTGCTTTTTAATAATTTATTTGACATGTTTTAAAACAATCGAATTATTGATGCATTTCTTCACAGCAAGCCATTCGTGACTCTTCGAAAACTTCAATAACAGCGGAAACGAATGTTTTAGATCATTCTATAATTCATTTGACATTATAATTAATTTTGTTGCTTTCTTTTCATAAGAATATATTACAACAAATATTTAGAAAGTTACGGTAAAAAATTTAAATGA